ATCGAGGAAAATAAAGTAGAAAGATTTTATTAAAGGAAGTTGATTTTTTCCTGGGTTTTAAAGTAAAAAAAAAAAAAACCTAAGAAATCAGAATTAGTCGACAATTTATCATCGTCGTGGGATGTCTTTCGAGCCGTACAGTGAGGAGCTCCAATGGATGTTCGCTGGCATCGAGAAGGACAGAGAGAGAAGAAGGAGAATAAATATATATACTAAGAATAAGTAATTTGATTAATGACGAAAGATTTAAGACTCAGTTTTTAATAGGAAAATTTCATAGCCACCAGTTTTGAGACACACCACTTTCTTCAAGTAAATGGTCTACGTGTGAGTTGCGTGACTTGAGTCAACCCAGATTTAGTCAAATTCCTTGAATATTCTTTACTTTCTAATGGTCATTGCCATTTCAAAAGATTCTATTATAATTAATTTTGTGCTTAAAATAGTCTTTGGTTTCTTTTTTAATTAAATAAAAAAATTGAAAGGATAACAAAACCATTTTTAAGAAAAATAAGTGAAACGGATCAACAGGAAACAAAATTCAGTAAAAAAAAGACCAAAACATTGATTAAGTACCAAAACATTTATTTGTTCCTCTAATGAGATCAAAATCTCTTAACGATAAGTCGATAAAACCAAAACAGAACAAACAAAAAGTATCCTGGTCTTAGAACCAGTTTAAGAAACAGAGTAACAACAAAGTCTGTCTTATGATTTCTCTCCTCCTTTGGCTTTGAAGTAAACTGAATGTAACCCAAAGTAAGTGTGTCTATGCTCGAACACCTCGGTTAAGACTTACCATACGGCTCGAACCATCCATCTGCATTCCTCTGCTCCCTGTTCCACCTCTTCCTGAATACCCACCACCTGTCCCTCGGTTCTGACCAGACCACTCTCTTGTCTGACCACCATGTCCAGATGATCTGTTACCACCGTAACCAGACCTTGGGCCATTATTGTAACCTTGTCTTCCTTGGGAGTAAGACATGTTGTCTTGCCACTTTCCTCCACCTGCTCCTCCTGCATAGTCCTGATTGTTGTCTCTTCTCCTTGAGCTCAGATCCAGACCGCCACCACCGGTCCTAGCCTCCATTGCTCTTTCGTTGCTCTCTGCAAGAACAGCAAGTTTCTCTGTTAACTGGAACGCCAAGGTTTGCAGCCTGTTGTGCTGGACATCGTGGAAGACGATGCAACGTGTAGGTTGGTCCCAGTTTGCGTGGAGTTCTTCGTTGATCATCATCTTGCTCACGATGCTGTGGACTTGGTTCTCAGAGAGATCAAACATCTTGGCGAGCTGATCTAGACTTAGGGACTCGTAAGAGGCCGAGTATGTGAAGAGGTAAGTCCTCAAAGCCTCTTCTTTGATGCTAGCCTTCACCATATCAAGAACGGTTTCCCGGTTCTTGAGTAGTTTCCAAACATCAAGGGAGTTCAAAACTTCAAAAGCCTTTTGGAAGTCTCCTTTGGTGAGAGCTCGGGTCGCTGCCATGACATGGTCACGGACGTTCTCAGGAGGAGCAGTGAATGCTTGCCTCTCGCTGACCTCGAGCAGGCGACGGAAATTCTTGCTAATCACCTTGCGTCTGGAATCATGAGAATTGGCTGCCATGTTAGGGACCTCTAGTAGCATGGCACAGATGAGATGAACAGCCTCGAGAAGCTCAAGGTTTATGTGCATGTGATATGGCATCTGTCGTCTCCTCTCCAATCTTTCCTGGTGGGACCAAAAGGTTGTAAACAGTTAGCTCAATTTTATATATAAATAGACTGATGAAACACCACAAACATTGACAACACAATTACACAAGAAGGAAACAAGTTCTATTAACCTGAGATGCAACAGAAGACACTATGTAATACAAACTATAAAACGTGTACCTGCTCGGGAGTTTTCTCGTGGTATCGACTTTGCGAGACACCTTGAGCAAGTAACTCCCGCACCCTTTGACCAGAGTACAGCTCAGACAGACAGCTGTGAGCTTCGGTAATCATTCCAACCCGGAATGCGCAAAGACCAAGCTGTGCCATGGACCTGTTAAAGAGGATCTGGGTTGAGATGTCCATGTGCTGAATATTGTCTTGCAGATGACTCATCAGCAACAAATCTCTGGCAGTACCAAACTTGTCCACTAAAGCATGGTGATAGATATCACATAACATTGCACGGGCTTTAGTCCGTTCATCTCCATGTTTGTAAATAAGGGAGACGAGAATATCCATCATAGCTCGACTACTCTCGGGGAAGGTAGGCTTACGAGGAACAACCTCTGGAACAACAATGAATGAAGGAGGGGGACCTGTTTCCTCTTTGGGCTCCTCGCTATCTTCTTCTTCTTCCACCACCAGCTCAGCCAGTTTCCTCATGGCATCATAAACTTCCTGAGGCTTGTAGTAAATTAACTCAACTCGTCTAAGGCCTACCTTAGCAGCAGCTTTGTAGTCACCAGTCCGCTCAAAGTAGTCCTGGATGTTTTGAGCAAGAGCTAAAAACATCGGCTCATCTCTCAATCTCTCCACATACTCACGTGTATGAGGATCTATGCACTGCAAACTCTTGAAAAATTCAGTGTCTATCCTCTCCACGAATGCAACAAGGTTTCCCCAGACCCGAATTTTCCCATCAAAATCTTCTGGTTTTGAAGTTTCATTCTCATCAGGCTCAACCGTGTCATCGACAATGATGTTATCATATTTGACAAGAATGTCCAGTATCGTAAGCATGTTATTCACACACTTCTTCCAGACATTAATAGGCATGTGGCCGCTGAGACCAGGATTCACATCAAACTGTGCAGAAATAACACTGAAAAAGATTTCAAGTTTCTGTGCTGGAGTTTTGGCAATTCTTGTCAGGTGTGTAAGCTGATCAACCAGTTCAAATCGTGCAGTTCCCTTCCTGCCACGGGCAGCCACAACTTCTTTGAATTTTTGGTTAACCCAGTCCCATGTGATCTCCTTAGGATCTTTGTTATACAACTTTTCCATAAGCTTATCTTTCTTGCTTAGCATCTTCTCCCAAGAGGGATCACCAGTCTTGTCATCCTCTTCAGACTCAGCCTCTACAATAACATCATCCTCGGAATCATCCTCCTCATCTTCCTCTTCCTCATCTTCCGCATCTTCATCCTCTGACTTCACTTCATCGGTTTCCGGAGACTCCCTATATTTATTAATTTCTTCTTCATATAGCTTATTGTTCTTCTTCAATCTCTGTCTCATTGAATTCAAGGCCTTGGAGTTGCTAGTGCTCATCTTTTTCTTTGCTTCCTTGTTGGCCAGAGTTTCATTTAAGAAATCCTCCAACATCACAAGTGTTTTGATGTACAAGATTGGAGCCTTCACAGCCTCTGTAATCCTCATAACTTTCTCCAGCTGCTTGTTAATCTTATCAAAGTACTCTTGTAGACTAACCCAATCATTGATCTTCATGGCATTCTTCATCTGCTCCGCAGTATTAACCATCTCTTCATAACGCTTGTCTTTGGCTGGCTGAACAACACGTTTACGGAGATCATCGTCGTCACTGTCACTGGCACCTGGAAGGTAACGCGAGGCACCACCAGCATTGGTATCTTGAACCTCTTCCAAATCTTCCTCAACGTCACTCTCATGTTCACTGTCACTTCCAGGCTGGTGAACAAGGTACAATGAGAAAGTTAAGTAAGTACAACAAATGAGGCAAGCCAATAGACCAAGCTAACGAATTCATCGAGAAGTATACAAGATTCGAAGGAAAACCTGAGCAAAGAACTTCGACATCTTTCTTAGCCGGAGAGGTAAACTTTAGGCAATGGAAGCAAGGAGAATCTGCATCCCACAAACAAAACACAATGCAAAAGAAAAGATTAAGTAACTCGAGGCAACCCAATTGAGTCAGGTATATCAAAAACACATCAATCTCAGTTCTTAGAGGAAAAAAAGACAGAACGAGAAAAAGAATCACACTTTACTAAGAACC